CTGGTTCTGGGACAGTACTAGGACAAAAACAGGAAAAGCGAGACTTTATCTAGGCCAGGTTTCAGGTGGTATCTCAAGAATTCCTCAACAGTCTGAACCCTTACCTGTGTGTACGCAAGCCTGGACTTGGCACAGACACAAACTTCTTGGTATGTTTCACCTCTCGATAGCAGCCTCAATGTACAACCAAATAACAGCTTTGTTGTGTAGCTGCTTGGATTGCACTTGAACTCCCACTTCCGCCACCCTCAGCGCTTTACCCATACCTGCAGATTGCAGATGAGTGGCAGCTGGCTCCTGGTCAATCCTGACGTTAAGGCTCAGCGGTTTGACCGAACTGGTGCTTTATCCGACTGGTTTAAGGCCAGCACAGTGCTTAAAACAATGTAAAATTTCACCCAGTGGCATATATTGCTTGAAAGTTTCATGTGGTTTGCTTTCACTGGAATATTTCTGGGCAGAACAATGCAAGTCAGAACTCTGGTTAAGCAAACCGCCGAGCCTTATCTTGATGCAACTCTGGGTATCAGCAAGTCGCTGTGCCAGACGCTGTGCCTGTGCAAAGCACCATGGAGGTGCCTGCCAATACAGCTACACGTAAGCCCACACCCATAGCTGCACCTGCGCCTACATGTACTCCCTCGAAGGATCTGTCAACTCGATCAAGTTCTGACGACTTGACCCGCCTTGTTGACAGAGGCCACAAATGTTTGACTCTGATGACGAGAGCTTGGGCTGGCATGCCTGTGCTTCTGTTCTGGTTGACACTACTTTGGGCCCAATGGCATCCACCCCCTACTGCCAGTGCTGAGTCCAGCACCTGGGAAAAACAACTCACAGAATGCGTGGCTCTTTGGACCTTTCAGGTCCACATTGATCCCCTGGACCCACAAACACCGCTACGGCAATGATGCATGGCCAGCACTTTGGGGACCTTTCATGCCTGAGACAGTGGGATATCGGGGTATTCCGGGGATTGAACCCGGGACCTCCTGCACCCAAAGCACAAATCATACCACTAGACTAAATCCACTGCCAGTGTTTCTGCAAAACAGAGAGTTGACGTCACGCCACCACTGACATTTCTGTCTGGCCGTATGGCTCAAGTCGATAAAGCATTGTTTTTTTTCTTGTGCCCTAGGGCGCCAAAGGTCTCACTGGCACCCCCTTCAACTGTGCTGTCAGGCAGACTTGGACTTGTCATCTCTTCAGTGAAACTTTGCCACACTCAAACTTTTGCAGCAAGTCTAAGAAGTGGGCAAGGCCAGCTGGCCCACGTGCAAGATTGTTATTCAGACGTTGGACCCAGTTTGGCCCTGACTCCGAAACCCCAGAGGCTCACAAAATCTGAAAACAAATAAATGAAAATTACAATAAAGTGAAGTAATGGGGCTGCCATTCAGCCCCCTTTCGTCCTGCACAGGGTTCGAACCTGCGCTCCCAAAGGGAAATGCCTTAGCAGGGCACCGCGTTAACCACTCCGCCAACAGGACCCTCCACAAGTCCCTTTAGGCAAACAAGGGTGGTGCAACTGGGCCTACCTGAAGCCTTTTTTCATACACTACCCAACAGCAAGACAGCAAGATCCTCTGCAACTGCAGCATTCAAGCATGAGCTTGGCTGGAAGCATGCTTACTTAGAGCTGCTTTTGACTTGGCGCTTGCAAAACCCTGGTGCTATTGCTGCAACTGCAGACATCGGAGTATCTCCAGCAGTCCACGAGCATAGCAGGACTCGAACCTACAATCTTTCGATCCGAAGTCGAACGCGGTAACCATTTCGCCATATGCCCACACCAAAATTTGAAAGACTGTCATCATTCGCCTCCTGCTTGTTTCCTGTTTTTTTTTTTTTTTTTGGTTGGTGTGTTCTGCCTTTTCATTTCACTCCCCTCCCCCTTACCGTTCTGCAGGTGGCTAGTGTTTAAGAGGACCAATAACAAGGGGATTAACAGCATGAAGGTGCAACAATCAGGATCCTGCCAATCAAACTGGACTTGAGCAAGAGACTTTGCCCACCAATGCTGTCTGTTGTAACTTGTGCTTGCTGTCAATTTGGCATTTAGATAGCTAAAGGAAGGATAATGGTCAGTTGGAATTGGCAGGCCAAGTATCCCACCCCAGCAACCCAAGTGATTGCATTGCAAGTTTGCACTTTTTTTTTGCATGAGGGGAAACTTTTTTCAATCAATGTAGCAAAAGTTGCACATGTTGCACAGCGCAACTTTGCATGGGGTAAAGTGCCTGTCTTGGTCAGGCTTCCACAGTCCAACCCCCCACATCATGCTGGATTCGCAACCTGACTTAAGTTTTTTGTTTATTTTTTTTTTTTTTTCTGCTCAGTCTGTCAGCCAGGAACCAGACATTAGAATAAAGAAATTTGCAATCTTTCGGCTGAACAAGCCTAAAGCAAACACTCAACAGAAGGTTGAAGCTTTTTTCCAGCTTGTTCAAACAAATGCAAATTGCTGGTTTTGGCAAAGAACCCATTGGCTTGTTGGTTTGGCCACTTGGACCATCAAATGACACCAGTCAGCCAATGAAATTTGACGAGGCCCAACACACACAAACACTGTTCACCTGTGCTGCACGACAGGCGGTGCAGCACAGGTCATCAGGAGTTGCGCTCCCTTCCTGCATGGTTTCACCGAGGTTCGAACTCGGGACCTCCTGTGTGTGAGACAGATGTGATAACCAACTACACCATGAAACCACATGACTGGACTTGTCAAAAATATGACAGCAATATGCACTTGCTTGCAAGAAATTGTTTGGACATTTGTTGAAAAAGTGAATGAAATGCAGGCTGGAGTTGGCCTGGGTTGAGCCACCATGATGCATGCAGCCACTCAGCTGCTGCCACACCACAGTTCAGTCAACCAAACCATCTCCTTCTTAAAGCAGAAAGCAGTATTGTAGGCAGTTCCTGCTTCTAATAGCAGCAACAATTCAACAAAGGAACAGCCAGCTGCTCAGACAGGTTAAGTTTTAAAATATTGTGTTTTTGTCCCCCTGATTTTTTGATCTGTGTTTTGACTTTCTGACAAATCAGCATTTCATGCAGACGGACTGTGGGTTGGGTGTGCTGATTGCGTTTTCTTTTTTTTTTTTGTTTTATTTTACAATTTGTCTGATATCTTGTGGCAAGGGCAACGACCTTTGTACAAACGGTTGGAGCAAAACATTAGGCTGCAAAAACTGTGTCCGCAGTCCAACATCCAGTTACATCCTTCATGGCTGACTCAGGCTGTTTGCATTTGTAGAGATTTTGTTGCTCTTGGATGGGGCAAGAGACAAACTCTTGCCACCCACCCCCCAGGCCAGTGGCGGTAGCCTGCAGGTAAACAAAGGAAGGTGGAGGCCTCCAGGCTGTACCATTTCCTCCTGAATAGGGTCTACCACAGACTTAACTGGGTCAAATTTGAAATAAATTTGAGTTTGATTTGAATCGAATCAGACTTGAATCAAATGAATTCTCCAGTATAGAGTGATTTGAATTCGATTTGATTCAGGTTTTATAAGTAAAAAAATCGAAATTTCATTTGATTTGGCGCAATTTGAGTGCAAAAACAGCCATTTGTCAGATTCAGTTGTCTGGGTAATACATTTTTTCTTGTCATTTGGGTCTGGAAAGCAGAATCAAATCAAATCAAACCCAAATGGGGATCTGGTCTGTGGCAGACGCTACTTGTAAAGTGCTTTGCAGCTGTCCATCACTGCTAGAAATCATTGTCAGCTCTGCCGCTGGCAAGCTTGTGGCATCAGGGAGATTGTTGCCCTCATTGCAGCATATGATGGCAAAATCAGACAGAAAAGACCACACCTGGCGCTTATGGCCCTGCTTTGGCAAGTGATGTGTTTTGGTTTCCTGAGAGTGCCCCCCTTGGCACTTTGAGGGTGCAGGAACTTTGTCATGATCATCTTCAGGTAGTGTTTTTCCCCTTGTCTGTCTGAGGATCCAACTTCCAAGCTCTGCAGAAGACTTGCACAATGGAATGCCAACCAACACCCTTGGGAGTCAGCAGCCATGCAACAGTCCACACAAATCTACAACCCTTATCGCTACTGGGTGTGGCATGCCACTGCAGACTCAGAGGCCAGGCTGCAGGGCAAAGTATGTAAATCAAACAAAGGACCACTCCCCAAAAGCCATTAGACTTCACGAAATGCAACGAGGTCAATTTTTCTGTCTGGACCCCTGCCATGCACCTGTGACAGCAAAAAAGTGTCAGACACCATTTGCAAAATTGCAGCACAAGGTGACCCAATGCTGGACTGTGTCTAATGACTGCAAATACCACAGTCTTTTGGGTAAGAGCACACGCTTGAAGGTCCAAACACATTCACTGATAACAGATAAAATGGGGCTTTGGCATAATAGTAGTATGCGCAAAGGATACCAAAATGAGGTTTTCTGTATCTGTTATCAGTTCAGACATATTAGATACATGCTGCAGGCTGCACTGCACGAGAAAAAAAAAAAAATTATTAGTGTTGTCAGCATTTTGCCCAGTATGAAAGCCTGCAGAGGCATGAACCAATTTGGTGGGTCTGAAAAGCAAACACTGCCTTCTCAAGGATATTTGCTCTTTGGCAATTCGACACTGATACAGGGCGAAACGTCCCAAGCTTCACTTTGAGTCTGAAAACCTTAACAGACATTCACCTTTCCCTCATCGCCTGTAAATGCCCAAACTGCTGAATAGGGTCTAACACAAATCAAGTCATTTTCAATGTTTGATTTGATTTGATTTGATTTTCTGAATATAAATGACAATTTTCCCATGTTATTCGGCCATTTGATTCAGTAAATTTTCAATTTTTCAATTTTTTTGGGGCTGAACAGTCAGACATAAGAAAATTTTACTGATGATGGAATCGCTTTTGAATCAATCCCAAATGGTCATTCGAATCAAATGCAGCGTTTGTGTTTCATCCTACTGCTGTAGCTGACAATGCCCTCGCTAGATCAAGTTGCTCATGCCACAGAAAATGAGGACACACCCGATGTGGGGGTCAAACCCACAGCCTTGTGATGGCTCACGTGCACATGTCGCGCATGCCGTAAGAGTCACACGCTCTACTGATTGAGCTAACCAGGCAACACACACTGCATTTTTCCGCCCAATTTGATCAGGAGAATAACCACAACTTCCTCCATTGGCCTGTTCTTGGGTCATCATTTAGCCCTTCCTGCGGAAAACTGAATAGTGATGGAGAGTGGACAAAATCTGTGTGCAGTGTCAGAGGCATCGTGCACTCCTCCTGGCTGCAGTACACGCAGCTGTTACTGCTTGCAATAGGCTCAAATGACACACGCAGACCCCTTGCTTCAGCTGGGAGCAATTCTACCGTGGCAGCAGTTGATGAGCACTGTTCACCTTTCACACACCAGTTTGCCTGGAACCTACCCCCCCGCCCCCCTTCTGGAGAACCCACATTCCAAGTCTGACTGAACACTTGCACAGTGGTTGTTTGGAGCCACTTGGCTCAAGCTGACTGTTAAGCGTCTGCCTCCCATCTGTTACCTGTGCCCTAACTCTGTGTCCCTTTTGCTCACATGTTTGCAAAAATGAATGAAGCTCCCCCAATAGTTTCTCCAGCTAATCATAAACGTAGTAGAACCATTTTTGTTGATAATCCTTGGCTTCAAGGATTTGTAGAAGCTGAAGGATGCTCTAACCCTGGCTCTAATTCCTGATTGTCTACTTTCCTGTTCCTGCAGTTTTTGTTTTTGTGTAAACTTTATTTCATAGGAGCGGGGAATTAGCTCAAATGGTAGAGCGCTCGCTTAGCATGCGAGAGGCACGGGGATCGATACCCCGATTCTCCAAAACCTGCAACGTGTTATGACAAGACACAACCAAAGCCCTTGGAAAGGAACCAAAAAAATTAATGTGGGTATGGGACTAGAGGGGTCAGTTGTTGTCCATATCTGATGACAGAGAGAGTGCTCTGGACAGTTGTTTGCCCTTTGTGAGGTGGTGCTGGGCAAAGTGCTGGCGAGGTGCTGGCACACCCTGTCCCTTTCAATTTGACATCAGCCTAAACCATCATCCTCCTGGGAACAGGCTTGCCGTTGGCTCTCAGGTGGCACGCTCACTGCCATGAAACTTTCACTGCTTCACATTTTTGTTCATTTCCACTGGACTGATTGTCTGTTGTTGTGAAACCAGAATTTTTTGGGCACTGACGTGCGCTTCTGTGCCTGAGTGTGTAGGGTCACATGGTGTAGTTGGTTATCACGTCTGTCTAACACACAGACGGTCTCCAGTTCGAGTCTGGATGTGACCACAGGATGTGTAGATGAGTTTTAAGATCGAATTAGTGCACTTGTTGTTCTCACCAACAATGTCTGTCTGGCGTCGAACTGACATAATTGTAAGCGAGAGGGCCCAGACAGACGGCCAGATTGCACCCACATTGAAAAAAAAAGGTAAACGATTCATTGAAAAAGACGAACACGCCTATAAGGAAAAAAAAAAGAAAAAGGAGGAAGAAAACTTCAGGAACAATATCAAATAAGGAAGAGTGTTGATTCCTTGATGATTAAAACAGGAAAACTTTGGGGACAGGGCCAAGACTTGCATCAGTCTGGAAATTACGTTTTTTTTTTTCTTTCCAACCAACGCACATCTGCTGGGCAGGACATTCTCTGATGCAACAACAATATGATATCTACTTAATTACTGTTCAATTTGGCACAAGTTTGTTAAGTGTTGAGATTTGAGCATAGAAAACCAACTTCCTATGTCGACGGTGGCCTCGTCGGCGCCGCTGATGCGACTCACACTAAGGAAAGCAGCAGTTTGCCGGATTCCAATGTCTGGGAAGGGCTGAAGTCCTGCTGTTCATTGAGTCTGGAAAGTTAAACTAAGCCTGAATCTTCATTATTAGCCCCTGGCAGTCTCTAATTTGCATCAGAAACTGTTCAAGTCAGTCCCAAACAGCCTGGCATGGGCCTTTTAGGTAGGCTCTTTGCAAAAATTTTTTGGTCAAACACTTTTGCTTGGTCCATCTGTAAACACTCTAGTCTGAGTGAGTGAGTAGAAGGAGTGAATGAAGTGGAGATGTGTGTTTGTGGGTGGTCCTTCTCCCCAACTTGGAGAGAAAGAGTAAAAACTCTGTTATGAATTATTGATACATGATGATGATATACACGCTGTAATAGTTGCTAGGCAAGCGTGACTGGCACAGGGTAAAAACCTCTCCTATATTACCTGCTTGAGCAGAGGAGGAGGAAAACTGTTGACACTGGGTTTCTGTTCCACTTATTACTCGGAGTATATGTCATCAGCGCAAGCCAGCGCCCAGGTCTGCATTGGCGGTGGCTCACTCTCCCATGGGCATTGTGAGAACAATAACTGACAGTCACAATAGGTTTGGGTCTGCCAGCACATGACCACAGCAAAAAAAGTGTTGGTGTACAGTGACGGCACTGGAGCTGCTCACTGAGGTAAAGCAATTTGGTCAGGGCGCTACTGCGCCAGCTAGGGATGCAGGCTTACTGCTTTGGACACCAGGGGACACCCTGGGACCCAATGCATTTGGTAGTGTAACAGCGGTACCAGCTACGTCTGTGACTGGAGATCCTGTGGCAGTCATGTGACTTGTGGGAGACAAGTAGTCTGTGAAACAAAAAATAAAAATAAAAACAAACCACCACTCTTGTCAACCATAGCAAACAACAACGCTGCGGATCAAGTGCCAACAAAAGGAGAATTGCTGCACAGAGTGCAAAGAACGCAAAACACCAAACTTCCTTCCATCCCAGACCAGATTGGAGATAGCTTTTGGCCCCAACGTTTGATTGATTCCGTGCAATAAAATCTGGTCAACTTTGTTCAAATTGGACCCCAAGTTGCTGTGGCCTCGCCTCAGGTGAGCCAAACCACTAACAGTGCACGTCTCTGGCGAAAGGCAAACTTTTCATCTTCGTATACAAGCCCATTGTGCCAGTTGTTATCTGGCTGCATAGTGTAGGGGTTATCACATCAGATTCTGATTCTGGGGACCCCGGTTCGATTCCGGGTGCGGCCTTGGTTGAATATTTAACCCTAATCTGCCAATGGTTTGTTGTGTATCATTCCACCACCGTGTTTGGCTGTTGTTGGCAGAAAATTGCACCATGCTCTAAGAGATCTGTCCTTTATCCCGTCTTTGCAGAAAATCTAACCCTTTCTGGTAGTCTCCCACCATCTCACTTCACCTGTAGCAAGTTGTTCTTCTTGCTAGAGGAAAGATTTTTTGGCTGTCGCATTCAAACATTTGCTGAGACGCCTTGTTTGCCTGATGAGTGCTTCTGTGTGAGACATGTTTCAGTGAAAAGTGCATTGTGGTTAAGAAGCTTTCCTCCTCATGAACCGCCATGTTCCTAGCAGGTAGGTGGCTGATTATCATGCCACATTTCTGACGCAGTCTTGTCCTAAAATGAACCTGCAGAGCCACAGCTGTGTGCTGGTTGCACAAACAGTGCTCTCAATCGTGGAGTGGTGGAGTTGCAGAGTTGTAACAGAGTAGCTGACAAGCAGAGTGGAGCTCCAGAGTTGCACAGTTGCAGAGTTGCGGCAGAGTAGCAGAGCTGCCAAGTTGTGGCCAAGTGGCGTAGCAGCAGAGAGCTAGAGTCCCAGAGTCAGTAAGATTTATAGCCGTCTTAGCTCATCTGGGAGAGCGTAAGACTGAAGAAGCCAGCTGCTGTTCTGTGCGGCGGCCGCCCTGCTATCTTAAGGCACCTGGTTCAATCCCGGGAGACGGCACATTATAAATCACTGTGCAAGTTTTGTCAACTGCATCAGGACTTGCATATTGGGCCACCATGTCCCTTTATTGCTGTCAAGCAGGCAAGGTGCATGGTCCCTGTTGCATTGCAGAGTTGGCACTTTTTCTCTCCTTTCAATGATTTTCTGCTCAGTTTGCAGGGGAGACATCAAATTTCCCCCTACCCCCCCCTCCCAACTGTCGGATCACTTCATTGCGAGAGGACATTACCTAGTGCAACAGCAATTCCATGTTGATTTGGTGCTGCTCTATGGGGAAAACCTGCCGCAGGATGAATTCAAAATGTCCAAAAATTAGTGGAAAGAATAAGACAAGCCCAGGAACAACTGCCACTTAGCTGCTTGCTTTGGGAAAGAAAACACCTTTTGACCAACGGTGACAAGTGTTCCACACCCATCGAACTAGAGATTTAAACATCTGCCTTTGTAGTCTCGACCACTGCAGAAATCTCCCAGGCGGGGAATCGAACCCCGATCGCCACCGTGAGAGGGTGGAATCTTAACCATTAGACGACGTAAGATCTATGCAAAGCCCTTTCGTTTTAATCTTTGACCCTCCAAAATGACAAACGCCCTGACTTTTTGATGATGTGGGTGTGGCAGGAATGTGTGGCAGAAAAAAGAGGTTACTAGTTTTTCTCTTTCTCTCCAAGTTGGGGAGATTATCCATAACAGAGTTTTCTCTTTTCTCTCCAAATTGGGGAGAAGGACCACCAACAAGCACACATCTCCACTTCATTCACTCCTTCCACTTGCCACTCAGAGTAGACTGTTTACACATGTGATAAAGCCTGTTGGTCAAGTTGAGTGGATGTGGCTGTGGGCGGTTGGGTTTGGTGCATTCTCGATTGCTTGTGTTTCCATGCACAAGTTCCCAGCTGGTGACCTTCCAATCCCTACATGGTCTGCTCACTTCTCTCTTTCCTCCCCCCCCCTTGTCACTGGCAACAACAACTAGTGAGTGCAGCAGTCTATCAAGATTCTCCACCTGAGTGGCTTCACACCATCCAAGTCCACAGGGTGGAATTAGAGGCACAGGGGGCTTCCGGGACTTGAACCCGGGACCTCCTCCACCCTAAGAAGGAATCATACCCCTAGACCAAAGCCCCATGCTTTTTTCAGAAGTGCCTCAACCTCTCCAGCTGCAACCTAGAAACTGGGTACTTGACCGTCAATTAAGGCTGACACCATACCCACAGGCCATGAAAAGTCTCACAATCTGCCCATTGCAGAGGTCCTAACCCCGATGTGGTGAAGGTCATGCGGCCACGGCGGCGGCCGCCACAACGACGGCGACAAGGACAAGATCTAGAGGGTGCGGTCGTGCGGGAGAAGTCGCCGCCGCAGCCGGCTGCTGCACCGCTGGGGGTGGGCGGGGCCATGGTGGTGGTGGGTGTCGTCGGTTGTTGGTTGTGGGCGAAGGCGTTGGTGTGTCGGAGATGGCGGGTCTTTGTGTCCGAAAGTGTCGTGTCGGAATATTTACAAAAATAGGCCATCGCGGATTTCAACTCTTATCCGCCGAGCTGGCCCGGACAGACACCAAAGGAAGACACAGCTGCTCGCTCCCTTTGGAGGACTTTTCAGCCGGTGCATCATCGACCTGCGCAAGACAACGTCAACCACTGCTGGCCGTTTCGGGTTGAGGGAAGTGAAAGGGTAATTTGAGGAGGTCCAGGTATCATAAAACCAGCCACTGGGCACAGGGGAATGTTCCCGTAGCACCGCGTACCGCCTTCTGCACAAGTTCATCAAATGGATCACCAAAGCTCTTCCTTCAACCCAACTGCCATCCCACGATTCCTGGCGCCTCAGCAGCGCCCACAGTGAGTGGGGCGACAAGTCCCTCTTCCCACGCGGTGACATCGGCCTGCATCGTTGACTGGACTGTGCTCAGGAGGGCCGCATGCTCACGGAGATTATGACCGGGCGCCGATTGGCGTTCAGTAGTGCGAGGACAGGAACGATGGTCGAGGACGGCAGGATAGCATTCCACTGCAGTGCGTGCGTGATGGGTTCTGCATCAAGCCAACGTTGAACCACCTCACTTCGACTGCCTCCCGATTACAGTCCGTCAACCACTCCTGCCTCACGCGTTAGCATGATCATCGTGTCGCGCACCTCACACAACCTTGTGGTCAGACTCGAGGTTCTTGAAGAAAGGATATTTGAGAACGAGTGCAGTTCAATTCAGGAAAGGATATAGCGATGAAACGGGAAAAAAAGGGAAACACGATGAACGAAAAAGATAGAAAGCGCCCCAAACGCTACTTCTTTGCACCGCTGCCTTTCTTTTCAGCTCCCCGAGAGGCCGCAGGCTTGCTCGAAGGCGTAGAGCTCTTCCCACTTCGACCGCTTGCAGCATTGCCGCCGTTCGATCTTCCCACTGCTCCGCCCGCCCCGCTCCTGCTGCCGGGTGCTGCTGCCTTGTTCGCAGAGCTGGCGGCCTTTGGTGCGTTGCTCGCACAGGCGCCGGCTGGGGCACGTCGGTACAAGGAGCCGGATGCACGGAACTGGAACCCGCGGTAGTTGCAGATGCCGCGAATGATCACGGAATTGTCCATTCCGCGTTCTGCCTTGGTTTTGTCCGTCACCTTTTGGGCTGCGGGGGGGGGGGGGGGGGTTGATGGATGTGTTGGATTGGTTTTTAGCAAACAACAACCGTGTGGAAATCGTTAGCCACAAGAAGAAACGAACCGGTTCCCCAATCGATAGGCTCGAACTTTTGGGCTTTTCCCTGCACCGAAGAGTTCGAAACAAAATGAGTCAAACAAGACCAGCAGGAAAGAATCGAACCATTCACTCGCGCGACTGGATGCGCTCACCTTCCCCGTGTGAACGCGAATGTTCCCCGCGTGAATGTCGCCGTGCACGTATCCAATGTCCTGCTGCTTTTTCTTGACGTCAGCGTTGATGCGATCGCTAAGCTTGGCCTTGCCGGGGTGATCCTCTGGCTTCTCACCGACGAGCAGGTACTTTGATTTTGCCTTTGGGCTGTTCTTCTTGTCGTCAAGCCACTCCTTCAAGCCTGTCGAGCCGACTTTGTGCTGAACCATTTTGTTGCCCTGTGCCGCGACCAGCTGGCCGGCTGCAGACGTGGTTTGAGAAAGTGGTTTGTGGAGTTGGGGGTTAGGGGGGAAGATATTCACGATTGTCAAGGACTAGGCTAAGGGACGCCTCACCCGCTTTAGTCGCGTCCACCTCCGTTTTTTGAAACGGCGATCTGTTCTCCATGTAAATGACGTCCTTGGCTCCATGTTTCGCATTGTAGACATCCTGAGCCGAACATCTGTCTCTTAATTTCGCTGCCCACCTTGAATTCGACGGAGCGGCAGTCAGAAAAAACAGCAAGAGAGGGACGACGAGTGAGAGACGGGAAGCGTGGCAAACCTTACCTCAACTTTAACGTTGCCAACCGTCTGGGTCGTGCCGGTCTGATGATGGATGGTACAACGCGCTGTTAAGAGTCTCTTACGAGGGAACCGGTGCTTACCTTGGACAAATCTTCATCTGCTCGTGGGGATCCGCCGTCGTTAGAGCCAGGGTGGGCCGAAACGACAGACAGGATTAACGAGAGGGCCATCGCAACTGCAAGGAGAGCGAGGAGGAGCTGGAGGAGAACGGGTATGCGCGACGCGGTGAAGGTGCGGTCGAGGTGGCCGCCACGACGACGACGTGAAGTCGCGGCCCGTGCGTTGCGGGCGGAGCCAGTAGCAGTGGTGGTGCGCGGCAGAGCCATTCTGGTTCTATTTTTTTCGTTTCCGCATTGGCTGAGCGGAGCGTCTGGTCTACAGAGAACCGGGGGGGGGGGAGTGGAAAGCGCACTCTTTTTGGGACTGCGTTCGTTTCTTCGCGATAATTTTTTCCCACTGCCTGTGTGCAGCGGCCAACAAAAGAAAAAGGATATTCACAAAAATTATTTTTCCAAATTTGGCCCACAAAGGCTGCGAAGTCCGCTCCCGCACCGGCCGTGACGGGACTCGGAGTGGCCCACAAAGACAAAGGCTGCTGCCAAGTCCGCTCCCGCACCGGCCGTGACGGGACTCGGAGCAAACAGTGTGTCTTGCCCGAATTAATCACAGAACGCATTGCGGAGTATATTTCCACCAGACACCAAAACAGCGGGGCTGAGCCATTCATTCAGGCATCAGTCAGCACAACTGCAGTGCGAGACCGACGGCGACGGCGAAGCACACACACACACACACACAAACCACTTTGCGTCCCGCAGTCCCTCCCTATCCCCCCACTCTTCACTCTTTCTTTGCTCTCTGTGGGCGGAGTGCGCTCCCAACAAGAAAAGAATCAATTCACGTTCTTGCCTCTGCCTCAGCAAAAAGAGATGCTACTACGCCCCGAACACGTCGCGCCGCGCCGCCGGCTCGCGCGAGGCGGCCGTCTCTGCCGCCGCGCTGTCGCCGCCCGCGTCCACCGCCACCCGATCGTCGCAGCAGTCGTTGCCGCCCTGCTGGCTGCGGCGCTCCTCCTTGGCGCTTCGCCGGGCCGTTTCATCAAGCCCGTCAGCGGCCTCGGTCCTGGCGACAAGGTCACAATCGAGGGAACCAAGTACAAGGCAAGTGAAGAACTTCCGAGTTGGAGGGGCAGCGCCGAGAGCTCTCGTTTGCCCCCCTCGCTCCGCACACACACACCCACACGAACACACACACACACACACACACACACACACACACACACATACACACGCACATACACACGCCCACAACAACCACCCACCAATAATCATTGCAACCCCGATTGTCCCCACCACACAGCTCAAGTCGGAACTGGGCGCGGGCAAGTTCGGGAAGACCTACACGGCAACCAGTGGACTACTTGGTGGAACTAAATCGGTCGTCAAGGAGCAGAAAACTGTCCCGTTCAATGAAAATGAGCTGGCTGCCACTAAGAATGGTGAGGGCTACTAGGCGTGAGGGGCGTGGACGATTGTAACAGCCTTGAACGAACGAACCCCCACCCCCACC